GGTCAATTACATTCAAACTCCCACACTCATGATGGATCCTTTTGACAAAGAGTTCTTTTCTCTTAAGAAGGAGTCTTGCTGTGTTGCCTAGACTGGTCTCCAACTGCTGAGACCTCCCATCTCAACCATCTCAGTAGCTGGGATGATGAATGTGCTCCACTCCATCTGCTAGCAGGTGAGGAATTTAAAATGGACTTTTAAAATAAGGAAATGTGTTTCCATCCATAAAGTCTTGTTTTTTTTTTTTTTGCAATGCCAAACACTGAGCCCAGGATCTTGCATACACTAGACAAGTGCTCTGCCATCCTCCTTAATGTTTTTTTTTAATTAAATTGAAACACTCATGTTTGTCCTATAGAAATTTATTTTGTACCCAAATACAGGTAGGGCATGTTTTTCAATTATTTTTCCTGATGTATAGAAAATCACTATATTCCTTTTCAAGATTTAAGGTTGCTAAGGTAAGAATTGTCATTATTAGAGACATATGGTTACATGAAGCTACATGTACATAAAGTACATACATCAAAAGCAACAAGATAATGAGGGGAGAAGAGAGAAAGTGTAGGTTAGAGACTAAGCCAATGGGACAGACACGGTACACACCGACAGGAGACAGGACACCCATGCTCGAGAAGACACGGGTACACACCGACAGCAGACAGGATGCTGATGCTAGAGAAGACACGGGTACACTCTGACAGCAGACAGGACACCCATGGTAGAGATTCCACATCGGCAGCTGTGAGGTCACACTTTCCTTCTGTTTTACCGCTTTGGTTAGCATAGTGCTGCATATGTGTGTACACAGTTCTGCACTGAGTACTTGTTTAATTAATTGAATAACTTACACAGGAATAGCCAAATGTATATTACTTTTTGTTCTTGGGGCTGTGTCTACTACCCAAAACATGGATAAACAAAGAAAATAGAAATTATGTAGAGATGACAGTTGTTTCAGTTTTTCAATGTTTTAATTATCTACTTGGTATCATATAAGAAAGTTTGGCCAGTCACTCATCACTCGGGAGGCAGAGGCAAGTGGTTTGTGGATAGTCTGATCTACAGAGTTCGTTTCAGAGAAGCCAGAGCTGTTGCACAGAGAAACCTTTTCTCGAATAAACCAAAAGAGAAGAAAACAGGAAAGTATGCCAGGGGGTGGTGGCGCACGCCTTTAATCCCAGCACTCGGGAGGCAGAGGCAGGCGGATCTCTGTGAGTTCGAGACCAGCCTGGTCTACAGAGCTAGTGCCAGGACAGGCTCCAAAGCCACAGAGAAACCCTGTCTCGAAACCCCCCCCCCAAAAAAAATTGAAGTAGGTACCTGTGAATGAGCATTTTAATATGCTGCCTGAATACACACCCATGTATATGCTAAATTCATAAGTTTTGAGACCACAGTAAACACATTTACCTATAATATGGGTTCAACGTGGGAGCTCAACAGATAATATGTTTTCATGAAAATGAAAGACAATGTTAATAAAGTGAGAAGAACATGTAAGTATCTTTCAGCTATACGATTCCTTTCCCTTGCCGAGCTGAAGTTACTGGAGAGTGCAGGACTGCTCCCGTTTCTTCAGAGGCCCCGGCTCACCACGACTTCACCAGTCAATAGCAAACAGGGGCTGCTACTGTGAACACCTTTGTTATCTGTCCGTAGAAGTGGTCTGCTGCTCTTAGATAAGAGAGGGAGCAGAACCAGCGGTGATGCTGAAGTGTAAAAACTGAACACTGCTGATGTATCTGCTCTGTTTTTACAGGGTCTCACTCTGTGCACCAGACTGGTATAGAAATGACTGTGCAATCCCAGTTGGCTTTTAATTTGGAACAATTATCCAGCCTCACCCACCCAAGTCCTGAGCCACCACCACACACTGTTCATACTTAGCCTTTATAGAGAGATTATCTTGAATACTCTTTTTGTAGCAACATGCAAATGACATAATTGAAGACATTCAATAAGAAGGAATTTGCACATAGCACAATTTAAGAAGCGGGTAAATAGATACAACATGTAGTTTAGCTTAGAACTGCTACTTAGGAGGGATCTGGTTTCACCATAATAAAACAAATGACTAGGCCCACTTTACACGGTATCTAGTTGTACTTTACGAGGGTATTCCTGGGGAAACATCTGTAGTTAGTACTCTTCTTGTGTCTTTAACCAGCAGTAAAATGAAATCAATCTTTATCTATATCCTGATTGTCTCCCTAATGCATGTGTTGCTTTTTTCTTTGAATCCACAATACAAATCAGAATATTAAAATGGCATTTTAGTTTTTGAGAACTTCGTACATGAATATACTGTATTGATAGGATTTCCACCCTTCCAGCTCCTTCTCTCTGTCTCTGTTGAATTTATGAGCTCTTCTGCAATTGTTGTTTATAACCCCAATGGGCTACCCACATGGGATTAGATACCTAGCAGGGGCTCATCCCTGCTGAAATGGACTTTCCCTCTCTCAGTGGCTAATGACCACTTAAACTTCTTCATGCAAGGGAGGGGTGTTGTGAAATTTCCCTATCCATGCTGGTATGTCAACTGGTATAGCTATAATGTAGGTCTCTCGCAGGCAAACCTACTGTTGGAATTTCATGGGTGAAAAATATACTGAGTGGTGTAACCCAGATACAGGAAGACAAAAACCATATGATCCCTCTTATTTGTGGATGCTAGCTCAGAATCTTTAGATTTGATTATATAATCTGTAACCTCAGGAGCTAGAAAAGTAGAAAGGCACCAGGGGAGAAGGGGGGGGGAGAGAGAGAGAGAGAGAGAGAGAGAGAGAGAGAGAGAGAGAGAGAGAGAGAGAGAGAGAGAGAGAGAGGCTGATAAAGTATTACGAAGGGGAAAAGGAAAATGGTGCAGGGAGAACTTAACTGAAAAGGGGGCAGGAAGGTAATATGAGGGGGAGGGAGGAAGGAAAGATGATAACACACAGGGTGTTGAAAAAGCCACAGAGAAATACTATTTTAAAACCTACTTAAAATACACATATATGGATATACATATAGTTCAATGGGATTATATCACATTGGGTGATAATATTCCCACCCAGGAGCCATAGACTATCTAACAAAAACTCCATTGCCAGGCAAGGAACAACTCTTTTTGAGTTGTTGGGGGCATCTGAGAGGCTCTCCAACAATATAAGCTACCACCATTGCTTAGGTTTTTTTCTCAGAACTTGAAAGTAGGACGCTACTGCTGAAGACACCACACACTTCAAAGGATCTGGAGGAGCTGGAGCTGGAGCTGGAGCTGACTTGGAAAGCTCCTCCCTGAGGGTGGGATGCAAGCTACCAAAGGAAAAGAGTCCTACCCAGTTGTAAAGCCTGCAGACCACAAAGGCCAGGACAGCAAGATACCCAAAGCATATGAAAGTGGCATTTATATATTGGGGGTTACCAACAGCTATTTCATTGGACTTAAGGTAACTTAATGGGAGAGAATTCATGCCTGGTATTGTAAATCTGAGAGGTCACAAACCCTAGAGAAGAGCCTACTGTTTCAGATTCCACATCCGTATTAGTTCCTAACTGTGTTCTGAATACTTACCCTATGCCCCTGTATCTATGGGCATCGCTCTCACCTCTCAGCAAAGGAGCTTCTTTGTGCAGAAGACAAGGCTACCGGAGAGATTCACGGGTGGTTAGACATAGAGGATGATGACTGTGGGCTGTGTCAGCTCTGCCTGGGGCATCTGCAACACAACCCTTACACCTAAGACTCACGGAACCTCTCAGGAGATGGGGCAGAAAAGGAAAAACTGGAGGACGAAGATGGCTGCTGCGAGGCAGTGTCTTCTAGTCGTGATGGCTATGCTGACGCGACACTCTGGGTTTTAATGCCAGCACCGAACAGAAAGAGAAACAGACAGTGGGAAAGAGGGAGGGAGGGGAGTGGTGGAGAAAGAACCATGAATTATATTTTACTTGACAGCTATTTGCTTCCATGCGTTATCTAATTAAAAAGCGCATGGTGGGCTGTGCGTGCTGACGCATGGCTGCGGGAATTCTAAGGCATGCTGTATTATAACGTGGGGAAGCTGGAGAGATGACTTGAAGGTGTGTCAGGATAGAATGCTGAACCTGTCAAATACATGGTTAGGAGGGCGAATGAGTGCTTAGGGCCAGGGGAAAGCAAGAACAAACTGGGTGACAAGGGAAAGATGGCTTTAGAAAATCGGTCGGCTCCATGCAGGCTGTGGCTTCTGAGCTGTGGGGACCAGGTTTTCATCACTTCCCCAGGCTTTTAGTTTTACTTCACGTTTCGGAGCTTTCCACTTATTTTTATCTCGCAGATAATATTGCTTACAGCGGTCTGTCCTGATTTTTACATCCTTATGTTTTTCACTCCAGCATCAGAATATAATTCCCTTTTTTTATGCAGATAGGAAGGTGTTCCCATTTGAGGCATGTGTGAGTGCATGCATGCATCTGGGCGTTCAGGTGTACAGAGAATGGAGATCAGCCTTCAGTGTCGTTCTCAGGAATGCTTTAGGACAGTCTCACCGATTAGGAGAGGCTTCTCCTGTCTTCCCCTCCACAGTCCTGGGATTACAAGTATATGCCACCAGGACTGGCTTTTTAGGTGAGTCTAGGGGATTAAATTTGAGCCCTCAAGATGCAAAGCCAATCCTTTTTCAACTAAGCTGAACCCCACCCCCACCCCCCAGAATATCCCCTCTCAGTTTCCTAGCCTTGTCAACTCTTGCATTTCTTATGTCATCCTCAAAAACCCAGGAAGCTGTCCAGGTTGACAATGACCAGTATCCTTCAGTACATGAATGTCTGTCTCTTAGAAGGGCACAGGCATAAGAACACCACAGTTTTACACCCAGACACATTTGGCCAGACGAAGGGGCTCCATCCTGCCCCCACCCTGTCTCACCCTCGGCTACGAACGCAGTTCAACGTCTACCAAAATGGAGAAAAAATAAACTCACAAAATGACAGCAAACTGGTACTGCCCACATAGATCTGGAGACACTTACCAATGAAGGGTCATGTGGTAGGGTGGTTTGGCTTCTTCTGCTGTTATTTCAAGTATGACTTTGATCAGGGTCAAGTAGAATAGAGAAGAGCTGCCTGGTGTTTTTGTTTGTTGGTTTGTTGCGTCACCTACTGTAGGTTCAGCACTGTTATTGGTACTCGTTACTTAATATTCATAATGCAGGGCCACCCTAAAAAAGCCAAGTCAGAAAACAAAACACAAAAAGTTAACCGCCACCACTGGGTGAGGGGTGTTTATTTGGGCACCATAGAGATGCCCAAAATTCAGGTGCAGATAGGCTAAACTTGGAGTCACAGACAGATCTGAGATCTGAACCCGGCCTCGACTCTTCCCTAACGCCAGTTTTACCACTTACTAGACCTTTGGCCAAGTCATTCACTTGTTCAACGACCACCTTGTGTTAGGTGTGCTGCTTGGCTCTGGGTTTCCAAGAAAGGATGTGGCCCCGTCCTTTCCCTGAATAAAGCCTTAGCAGAAGACACACTGGAAGGAGACAGACATGTAAGGGAAGCCTTGTCACCGAAGTGCCAAGAGTAGTTCTGGTGGTCTGAAGTCCGGTAGGAAGTACAAATATTGAACCCAGTACATTCTAACCTGGAACAGGGAGGTGGCTGAGGTCAAGAAATGCTCACAGGGGAGGTGGCTTTGCAGCTCCATGTTGTCACCCAATGAGTCAGGGGGTTGAAACACAATGCTTAGCCTGAGTGAACACTGGACCCTGAAAATTCCCATGAATCCACAAGGATGACCCCAGCTGGGACCCTAAGCAATAGAAGAGAGGGTGCCTGAACTGGCCTTGCCCTGTAGACGGACTGATGATTATCTTAAATATCACCATAGAACCTACGTCCAATAACAGATGGAAACAGAGGCAGAGACCAGCATTAGAGCACTGGATTGAGCTCCCAAGGTCCAGTTGAAGAGCGGAAGGAGTGAGAGTATGAGCAAGGAAGTCAAGACCATGAGGGGTTCACCCACTGAGACAATGTGCCTGAGCTAATGGGAGCTCACCAACTCCAACTGGACTGGGAGTGAACGAGCATGGGATCAAACTAGTTCCCCTGAATGTGGCTGACAGTTGGGGCAGACTGAGGGGCCACTGACAGTGGCACTGGGATTTGTCTCTACTGTATGTACTGGCTTCATGGGATCCTGTTCTCTTTGGATGCATACCTTGCTCAACCTAGATGTAATGGAGAGGGCCTTGGACTTTCCACAGGGCAGGGTGCATTGCCCTCTCTTAGGATTGGAGGGGGGTGGGGTGAGAGGGTCTGTGGAGGGAGTGGGAGGAGGGGAGGAAGTGGGAATTTGGATTGGTATTTTTTTTAAGTAATAAAAAAAAAGTAAAAAAGAAAAAACCCTGGACCCTGAAACAGCCTGGTAAGAAATGAAAGTGACTCAAGGCTGGAGCGAAACTGCCGAAAGCTGGGGGCAGCTGAGTGACACCCTTTGTCAGAGGATTAAGGAAGTAACATATATAGAGTGTGAAGCAAACCACACGAGCAGGCTGAAGCTGTTTTTCTTCATCCTCTCTCCCTGCCCAGCCTCCCAGTCTTTTCTATTCAGTGCTGGGTATTGAATCCATGGGTCTTATACATGGCACCCACTTTCTAGACAGCGAGCTCCTCCTGTGGCCACCTCCTGAGACTCCTGACACACTGTGGGGTTCTTATTGTGGATCACTTTCCTCACCACCTAACAAATGGTTCATACCCGTAAACTCATAACAACAGTGGCCAGAAGCTTGGTGACAGTGAGGGTGGATTCTGGAAAAGACTGAAGCAAAAGCTGAATTTGGTGTCAATCAATCGGGCGGCTTTGCGTGGCTTATCCGTGTGAGTCCATGAATGTGTAGAGCCTCCGGCACAGGGGGACAGGATTCAACATTTTTCCGCAGGAAGAGCTTAATTGTTTCCCAAGCCAGGAGAAGCTTCCTCTCTCCCTATCCCTCTCTTCCTTTCTGTCTTCCTGCCTCAGACCTGAGTTCCAGTTTTCTAAGTGTGTGTCATCGTCTACTAATCCATCCTTACAGGCCAACCTGTCCATCTCTATTACATGGCTCTGTGCATTCTTGTGTTGAATGCAAACCCTGAAACCTGAATCTAGATTATTCAACATAATCAGCCATTGAAGATATGCAGCAAGTATTTGCTAAATAAGCATCTAGCTAATGAGATACTAAAAATAATCTCACTTGCTGTGGCAGGACACTGGCGTTGGGCGTGTGGCCAGAGTAGGAGGTATCTTACCTTAAAATGTCTCAAAATGCAGCAAAACAAGTAACAGAAATGTTACAATGTTACCTATTTTGTTTTCAAGGAGTCTGCATATGGTCAGGAGCAAGTACATAGTCAGATGGCCCATTTTGAAGCCTGTTACAAGTCACAGGGCCCTGAGGCCTCTGGCCGAATGGCTTGTGTATCAGTTTTCTCATTTGCATACTATAGGCAATAACAGAATCTACCTTATAGCATTGTCCTGAAGACTTATAGAGTTACTGAACACAAATCACTTTAGAGTAGCTCTGGGGTGTCACCAGTGTACTACCTCAGCCTCAGGAGGAAGCAGGTCTCCTGAGGAGAAGGGCAGCATTGAGGTCACAATCCCAGATTAGGAGGGCACGTGCCTCCCTAGGAGTTATGCCAGGTGCACACAGCACTGTGGCGGACCTTTCCAACCACTACCCAATCAGGCATGTGGGGTGAAGCTTCCGATCCCTTAAAATTGTTCTTAAAAACGTGGCAACGGGACTGGCGAGATGGCTCCGTGTTTACCAGCACTCTTCCAGAGGAACAGGGTTCGATGCTTAGCGCCCACCTGACTGCTCACAGCTGTGGATAATCCCAGTTCCAGGGGAATCCTGTGTCCTTTTCTGGCCTCTGGGCACCAGGCATGCAGATGCTGCTCAGACACACATGTAGGCAAAACATCTATACACATAAAGCAATCATTAAAAAAAAAAAAACAAAAAACAAACAAACAAACCAAAAAAAAAAAAAAAACACCCAAAAAACTACTCTCTTCCAAATGCCCCAAAATAGCACGGTCAGTGTCGGGACATAGCTCAAGAATAGAGTCATGTGAAGGGAATTCTGAGCCCTTGTGAGAAAACTTCAAGAAAACAAGACATGAATCTTGTGACCTCAGTGTCTTCGAAACACGGAATTTTTCTTGGAATGTGTTTTCATGCTCCTCCCAGGTGTGGCAGACTGGAGTGAGTTTAAGCTGTTGTTACTCATGTGTCTTCCTTATAGTATAAATTGCCCGAATATCTGGTAAAGTTGGCTGTCGCATGAGACTTTAGTCTGTCTCATGTTTAGGCCCTGCTCTCCCATGTTCTCTCTGCCGCCTAGAGTGGTGAGCAGGTCAGGACACAGGTGAAGCTCTGTTGCAGAAATACATTTCCTATCAGATGTGCCACTGTGTCATTTTTCCTATTAAATCTCGTGAGCACCTGGATAGCTGAAAGCTTCCTATCAGATTAATCTTTTAGTAGTATATAAATGTTTATGTCACCAGGCTTGTGCTGAGCCATCTTGATGGCTCCACCTTTTAGTTAAAAAATGTTTTCAAACATTTACGTATTAGGAGCATGTGTGTGTGCTCAGAGGACAATTTATAGGAACTGGCTCACTCTTCGTAACATGTAGATTGCAGAGACTGACCTTAGGTGGTCAGGTTTACAAGCAAGCACCTTTATCCATGGAGCCATCTTGCCGGTCTCCACTTTTTATTTCTGAGACAAGCTCTCTCAGTGATCATGAAGCTTGATTCAGTTATGCTGGGTGAACAGAAGCCTTCAGGGCCCTGCCTGCCTCCATCCCACCAGGGCTGGGGTTACAGACTTACATTACCAGCCCAGCTTCTTGCATGAGTTCTGGGGATCTGAATTCATATCATCATGTCTGTGGGACACTCACTTTACGGACTGAGCATTCTTCCCAGCCCGGATTATTTTTGTTACTTAGGATGATTCTACACCCTGAGTTCAAGTAATTCTCCTGCTTCAGCTTCCTGAGAGTATGGATTGTTGGCTGCACCCACATCTCTTGCCTTCAAACCCCAACAATAGCAATGAAAACAGCCAGGTTCAAAATCTCACCTTACAGCCAGGCTAAGCAATGTCACTGGTTATGTTGGGAGAAACCTCTTAGTCTCGCGCTCTGTCACATGCAAACGCCACGAATTTACACAGAAAACGGTATGTACCTAATTAAGTAAGCATTGTGGATTGGAACATAAAACATTACGAGACAAAATGTAAACCATCTTCTTATAAACCAGATTTTAATAACCTAATCCTAAAACAGGAAATATATGTTAGGCATTATACGTTGATGAGAGGTTTGCTTTGAGCCTTGGAATTTAACTTCCGTATTTGTAGAACTTTCAGGCCATGTGAGAGCATTTTAAATTTGTTTTGACGACTATCTACTAGTGCACCCCACAAGTTTAACCCAAGAGCATTTTAGACACTGAATTTGGCTCAAGTTTTAAATTAACTTTTTTTTTTTTTCCAATGGTGCAGGTCAAACTCAGGTCTTTTCAAATGGTAGGCAGGGTTCTATCATTTGCACAAGAAGCTAAGCAAGGGCTCTACTCATGAGTTGGGCAGACGCTTGCCTCCCTAGTGTGGAGTCCAGAAGTGATGATGGTGAGGTATCTTCAACCATCCGCCACCTCTGGGGATAGGTCTCTTACTAAATCTGGAGCAAACTGATTAGGTTAGGCTAGCTAGACCAAGGCCTGTGGATCCCACCATCTCTGACTCTCCAGCACCGGGGTTACAGACACCTAATGCCATGGTTGAATTTTTATTCGGCTGCTGGAGCCAAACACAAGTTTGCATGTGTGTACTGCAAGCATCATGTTGACCGAGCCACCTATGCACGTCCATGTTTTTACTTTTTTAATAGTTTTGAGCTGGGCGGTGGCGGCACACAGTTTTAATCCCAGCATTCAGGGGGCAGAGACAGGCAGATCTCTGTGAGTTCTAGTTTCAGGATAGGCTCCAAAGCTACACAGAAACCCTGTCGGGAGAGACAGAGAGAGAGAGAGAGAGAGAGGGGTTTTGGCCCTGTGTCCTGGCTGGTCCCAAACAATGGGGTTCATGCAGTTTTTTTCCTGTTACCTATTACCAGATCAAGAAAATGTTTTACTGTATTTCTGAACTGTAAGATCCAGTAAATAATTAAGATGCATATCTACTTTAAGTCAATAAAAGTAATGTATACGATTGAGAAATTAATGTGCCCATAAAATTTCTGCACAAAAGCTAAAAGACTAGAACTCTCAAAAGTCTTTCCTGATTTCAGTTTGTCATGTTGTCACATCAATTGTGATTAGAAATTGGTTTAGAAACACTTTTAACTCACAAATTTACTAGGAGAGCTGCCTGACAATATGTATCGAAATTTCTTTGTTTTGTTTTGGGCTAAAAGTATTTATAAGTGTTTGGCATATTTGCTATTAGTAATACGGGTATTTTCAAAACAACATATGTATTGACTGTTACAGAATAACAATGAGAGGACATTGAAATTTCTTATTTGCTGACAACTCAAGGGATGCCTTGGTGGTGTCCTCAGTTTTCAGCAAGGTCCTAAACATTAACTTTCCAGTTCCGAAGCTACGTGTGTTAGAGGAAATGATTTTGCTCATCAAAACAATGACGGCACCATGATTGCAGATTTTATTCTAGTGCTCTGATGAGGTTAAGTTGTATGAGACCCAAACTGCTTGTTGAGCTGAAAATCCAGTTCTGGATTGCACGAATGACTAAATTTCTCCTGTATTCTGCCTGAAAAACGTGACTGTCGGAGGAGTGTAACTTCGGTGACTCCTCAGTTAGGAACATGGCCAGCTCATTTCTAAATGGAAACTCCCAAGTGCCACAGCCCATCAATCATCTGACATATAATCCGACTTCCACTGAGCTGGAATGTTCTTTAAAGGTCAGGTCTTTGGATGAAGAATGTCAGTTTAGTGGGTTCTGCAGCAGAAATGCCTAAATCTGGGGCAGTGCTTGAGCGTTGGAGAAACGGCTGCTCTTCAAATAGCAGAGAAGAACCGAGGACTATAAGCGGAAAGTCTTCTGCTTAGCCACATTCCCTACTGCCTCTGCCTGTATCTCATTAAAAGTAAGATAAAAGAAATATAGCTGGGTATTGTATCATATTCATCTACTTTCACTCGTATGCTAGGGAGTCTGGAAACACTACCTGGCAAATATTTGAGAAAACTGGAGAAATACTATATTCGAGGTGGAAAAAAAATCTAGATTTTTGTTTTAAAAAATTGGAACTTTTTAGCACAATTACTTTTTTCCCCCCTTTTTCAGTAAAAAGGAGCTTGCCGCGCACTCCAGGCTGGTCTCGAACTCATGGTGTTCTTGTTTCACAGCAAGAAACCTGCTTTCTACATATATAAACAACAGAGGCCTGGTAGTGACACATGATCATAATCCCAGTACTTGGGGGCACAGTGGCGGAGAAAAGACAATCACAAGTTCAAGACTGACTAGGGTGTGCAATGAGTTCCAGGCCAGCTCAGGCTACATGTGACTCCACCTCCACAAAGTGAAACCACCAGAAAGTGGGCCGAGCGAGAATCCCCTTCTCTTTCCACGTTCTCTATATATGCCATCCGTTCCACTCCCCAACGCCTTCTGTCCACATGCCCGCCCCGCAGGCACGAGACTCCCGCAGTTTATGAAAGTGAAGCAATGCGGCATTCTTTTTTCAGATAGGCCAATCTTTTTGCTAGCCTGGGACCAGAAACTGCGGCTTCTCAACTGTCCCAAACCTGCCGGATTCTAAGGATCTGATCCTAACCTACTTTTTCAGAATGGCCGAAAGCGAGTAAATAAGAATTTCAATACGTGCCCTTGGGCGACTGGATGAAGTTTTCCCAGGCTGTAGCGATTAGCGATCTTTAAAAATGATCTAATACCTGTCCTGAACGCAATCGCACGGCTCCCACAGGGCACACAGAGGGCTTTTTAAAGCGCTCTCCTAAGTGATGCTTAAACCGCAGAAGGCTTCCGAGAGCAAACATCCGCTACAGTGCGAGGACACCTGGGCTTTCTTTGCAAGTCGCCTTACGGGAACCTGCGAGCTCCGCGTCGCTCTTCCGCCCACGCTCGGGGCGCCCGGAACACCGATTCTCTCGGGAGAGAGTCTGGAAAACGGGCTGCGACTCCAAGCGGGATCTTTCCCGAGTGGGTCAAGCTGCTGGCGGCATTTCTAAGACCCCACAGCGACGCCCAGCATCCCGACCCGAGCCGCCGAGCCGCGCTAGGAGCACCTCCCGTTACCACCGGGAACCCCGACTCCACTGCTATCCCCAGCCCCCACCGTGATGCCCCCCCACACCCCGTTTCTCTTCCACGTGACGAGGGCCGGAACCGTCACTTCCGGCGGCGCGAGTAGCGCGCCTGCGCGAGGCGCCCGGCTCTGCCAGAGGTTGGCACCGGCGCCGCACCCCTTCCCAACTGCCGCAAGAGGCGGGCGGCGTCGGTCGGAGCGGGCGCCGGCGGGCTGCGGTCTCCTGGGTGCGCAGGCCGCGAGGCTTGGCCGCCACGCCCACCTCAGCCGGCCCCTCCCTCTTCCCAGGCGGCTCGCGCCCCGCGCGCCAGGCCCCGCCCCGGCCCCGCCCCGGCCCCGCCCTCCCCGCCGCGCTCTGCGGGCGCCGGGGCCGCTGCAGCGGGCGAGCCGGCGGGCGAGCGGGCGGGCGGCCGGGGCTGAGCGCTCGGGACGCGCGGAATGTGAGGCGGGCGAGCCGCTGTGCACCGTCGCTAGCTCTCTCATTCCTGCGCGCGGAGGAAGGGCGGCGACTCCTTACGGACGGTCGGCCGCGCCCCGCCGCGCTCCGTGTGGCGCGGGTCCGGTCTCTCGCCGTCGCGCGCGCCCTTGTGCCCTCCTGGTGCCCTCCAGCGCGCCGGCGGGACCATGAAGAAGTTCTCTCGGATGCCCAAGTCGGAGAGCAGCGGCGGAGGGGCGGCGGCTGGCGGGGCCGCGGGAGCCGGGCTCGGCGGCGGCTTCGCAAGCTCGTCCATGGGGGTCCGGGTGTTCACCGTCGGCCGCTATCAGGTCACCCTGGAGGAGACGCTGGCCGAAGGTACGGGCGACGGGCGCGGCGGGAGGCAGGTGAGGGAGGCCCGGGGTGTGGCGGTGGCTGAGGGGCCAGCTCGGAGGCTGGATGAGTGGCTCGGGCTCGAAACCGCTGGCGGCCCCGGTGCGGGCACGGTTGTCTGTCTCGGGAGTTTGAAATCGTTTTCTGTTCTTACTGGCGCGAGGGAAGAAATAGAAGACGTCCCAGTAAGTGATGTGGTGTCATGATTGGACCCGTGACTCATTAGTGAGGGTCAGATGGAGCACTGCTGGGACACTGCTCTGCCAGCTGTGGCTCTGGCGGCTGTCCTGCCTTGCTCTTGGGTCCCAGCCTCCCCGACGCGCAGGGCAGTGGATCCCGCAGCCGCTGCGGTTTGTTTGGGGTTTGTTGCTGCTCAAAATCCCAAACAAAACAGGACTCCCAAGCCCGTGTGTATCTGGTTGTGTGTGTGCGCGCACAGATAATGGGTATGTGTGTTGGCATCGTCTCTCCGAATTCAGTTAAGTGGTTGCTTGGGGCGGGGGTGGGTGGGAGTAAACTTGAAGTGCGTTTATCTGTGTTGTGTAGTATCTTCTCCCGGGGACAAGATCCTGTTTTTGTCCGCCTAGTGCCTAGTGTGTCATTTTATTAGTACTTTAAACAGCGAGCAGTTAAACTTTGCCGTGTGAGGTTTTTGGTGGCTCTCTCATTGTCTGATAGAGGCTATGGCAGCTGGTAAAAGTCCAGGTACAAAAGAAAGTTTATTCCATGTTTAAAAAAGTGCTAGGCTTTAGTTTTGTATTTCTGGTGCAATTTGCTTGTAGAAAATACTTTATGATATCTTATTACATCTTATTACATTGACTTTGAAGTTTTGAAAGCAAGATATTAATATGTTGAAAAATCCATGAGAAGTAGTTCTCGTTGATAAGCAAATGATTTTAAAAAATAAAGCTAAGAAAAAGAGACTGTAGGGAGACGTTTTGATGTTCTGATTTGCTGGTTAGATGTTGACATGGTTTGAAAACAAGACAGATTCCACTTGTATTTTTGAAATTCCACGAACAATAGGAAATCAGTGCGATAAAAAGCTAAGGGCTTCAGGTCTATAAAATAAAGGAAAAGCAAACTTAACATTATCAGGGATGTGTGTCACTGTGTGCAAGCACTTGCTCAGGAGAGCGGCCCTTTCTGAGCCCTGGTGCAGGGGAGGGAAGGGATTGCCGGGATTTCCAGAATGTGTCTGTGTGGCTTTGATAGCTTGGCTGCTGTACCAGCTTTGCTAGCTCTTGATGCCTGGTGCATTTTAGGTGTTGGTTAAGTTGTGGTGTAGGTGCTGAGTGTTGGCGGCTATAACTCCCACACTGACGGTCCAGTTGTTTAGTAGTTCACTGAAGTGTAGCTTGAATAGTGCTATCCCTCCTCACTGAGTTCCAGGCTTTGTCTTTTATTTAGTATTGTGACAGCACTAATCACTAATAGACTGTAAATTTTAATATGCCCTGTTTTACCTCACACTCGGTAGCAAAGCACTGATATCACTGTTATAGTGTTTGTTTGTGGTGTGTGTGTGTGTGTGATAGTAGAGATTGAAGGCAGGACCATATTACCAGACTTCGTACCTTTTACATTTTTGAGACGGAGTCCTTCCCGAGTTACTGGGAAAGCCTTGAATATTCCTGTCTTTTGCTTCAGCCGTTCAGTGCTGGGCTTTCCCACAGGTTGTTTCCCACGGCTTCCATTAACTTTTGCTGAATGTGTTTGTCTGTTTTTCATGTGTACATGTTCGTGTGTCTGTGGCTGTGTGCATGTGTATGTCTGTACACTTGTGTGTGGAGTAGTGTCAAGTGTCTTCCTCAGTTGCTTTCCAACTTTTGAGATGTGGGAGCCATGTATTTGGCTAGACTGGCTAGCCTGTGAGCTCCAGTAGCCCGTCTGCCTTCCTCTCCTGCCAGCATTGGGGTCTTCTGTAACCCCAATGCTCAGCTCTTACACGGAAGCTGAGGATCTGAACTCAGGTCCTGATGACTGGCAAGCACTTTACCCTTCGATTTCTGCCTCATTAAGATTTATTTCATTGATTTTAGGACCGGGTGATGTTCTCCTTTATTCCCAGACAGGTGGATCTCTGGGTCTACCTAACAAGTTCCAGGACATCAAGGTTACCGAGAGAGACCCTGTCCTCAAAACAAGGAACACAAAACCCTCAAAATACCTTCTTACTTATTTAGTTTTAATGTGTGATCAAGTGGTAGGTGGAAACAAAGGTTGAAGAAACTCTCAGGAACGATGGGATTTCCTGTCTGTACATCATGGCTCCCACCTAGGCTTTCTTCCCTTTCTAGAATACACAACTGAAATAATTCTTATTTTACTCTTAGGATCCTGCAGCTTAGGCAAGGTGTTTAAGCACAAGGTTGGTTTGCATTTCAGGGTGATTTCAGAAGACAGACCTTGCCTGTCGTCTGAGGTGTGTGTGAAGAGCTGTTCCATTTAGAGAGACCCCTTGTCTTCAATGAACCAGTCTCTGTCTTTCTCTGTGTAAGTAGTTGTATTCAGAAGTCGGAATGAACATGGGCTCAGCAAATATTGGGTCATTACTTCCAGGGGAAGTGACAGGTTAGATATACCACTTAAGCCTTGGTTCATGACGTTTATTTGTTGGCTGATTTATATATGTGTCTTGTCCTATGTGTATTTGTGATTAAAGACACCTTATTTAGTGTATATTAGTGATTCATTAGCATGTCATTATCTCAAACTCAGGCCAAAATGAAAATTATCTAACACAGGATTTCTTTGTAAGAAAATCATAGCCTTCCTTGAACTTGTGAACTCTAGACTTCACTTTGCCCAGGAACCATTTTAAACACAGAAACCACCACTCTAAAGCAAATGAGAAAAGGTGACATTACAGTCACCAGGGGAGGTAGAGGGAAGAGCACTTTGGAAGGGTCAAAGACAGGCAAGTCCAGGGAGGCAGCACTTCACCCCCAGAATGCCGTGAATAGTGTGATTTGGGGATTAAAGTAAATTTTAGCATGTAGGCAAATTGACAGATATAGAATCCTGAAATGATGGTCAACTATTGTCATACATACATGTGCTTGGGTTTGTATACTACATTGACAATGAAAGCATTTTCAGGGGTATACTTTTATCTGTACTAAACTGTTGGCATAGTTTCCTCTGGAAAGCATTCTGTAGTATTGTCTTTTTTAGTTAAGCACATATATGCCTTGAAAATGCTTGTAACTTTCGCCCTTCTCAGTTTCTGCTCAGAGTGGCTGATGCCATAGTGAGGCGTTTTCGTGCATTTTCTCAGAATTGATTCAGTTTCAGGAGTTGAACTGTCCCGGCTTTGGCTTTAAGATGAGGCAGAGTCACATGCCAATGTTATCTTGAAACAGCCTCCGCTTGTCAAGCACAGATGTAGTCTTTAAGTTTTTATTAAAAGGTAGGACTATTTTTTGTTCATCTGTGCTTTCAGAAGAAGGGTTTGGATGCTGGTGTAGGGCATTAGAAAGTGGGAAGAATGCTTGTTTGTTCAGTTTTGTGTTTTTGGAACAGGGTCTCATGTAGTCCTGGCTAGCCTCAAAACGTGCTGTGTAGCGGAGGTTCATTTTGAACTCTTGCCCACTCCTCCCAAAGTGCGGGGATTGCAAGCATGTGCACACACTGTGCTCACGAAGCTGGTTCTCCATGATGGTTATTTTTCCAGCTACATATTTAGTGTACAGAATGGCCTTGAAGAGGGATGTCAAGCTAGTCACTGATGGTGTGCTGAATGAATTAATCTCGAGGTCACCTGGGCTGAATAGGAACGGCTGGAGAGTGTGGTGAGACTTACTGGTGTGGTCTGTAGGTAATTAGAGGCAGGAGCTTAGAATCCTGGAGACGTAACTTAGTAGTTTTCTCCGCATTAACTGTTTGGAGTGAGTGAATATTGTTTGAATATTAACTGCTCCTCAGTGCTAATTTTATAGGGAACTAGTAGCATATATACATTTAATCTTTCAATGAAGTCAGTATGGAAACAATCAGTTTAAGTATCTTCCTTGCTGAAGTTGTCTGTGGCTACCCAGTGACTTAAAAGTTAATGTTCCCAAGGGAGGACAGGAAGGACCCAGAGGAGAATTTCACAGAAATATCCACGGTTGTGGCTGTTTCACATCTTTGTATTAAGTGTTGCTCATGTAATGAATGCAGCCGTTCTCTAGCTCAGTAGAACTTGTAGTGTAGTGTAGAAGATGCATGTAAGCAAGCAAAACCTTGGTTACTGTGGTTAAAAGTGAAGAGCAGGCTATGGTCTTAGAATGATTGAGTTTGGATTAGGGAATTGAGAAGAGAGCCTTTCAATACTTTAGCAAAAGCTGAAGGGCAGCAATGGTTAGGTAGGTGAGATGTGAGGGGAGGGGAGTTTCAGAGTCCCCCAGGAGGGAGCAGTCCCTGTGTGAAGAAGACTTTCAGGAGCTCTATTGTGCTCAGAGCAGTGACCATGGTGATAGGTCATGTGGACCATATGCTGGGTCCTGTTGAAGAGGGCCATGTGGCTCACGATGATGGGCCTTGTTGATGAGGGCCATGTGGACCTTGATGATGGGTCCTGACGAGGGCTCTAATTGGGGGACTAGGGTTCTGGGCTTTGCATGGCAGCCCAAGTTTGGCTTATATCTGAAATGTAATAGGAAGATATTGAGCAGTTTAAGCTGGTGCACTCTTAATTTTCTTATGACTATATAGATAGCTAGATAGAAAAAGGCTGAGAAATACGTAAATTAAGATGATTAAAAATGACAGTGAGAATGGAGACAGAATGTTACATTGCTCAAATGTTAGGGCCTTAGAGGGTGGTGCAGAAGGTGAGACAGAAGGGTCAACAGGACTTGCTTATGTAGCTCTTGGATGGAGGACCCTTGCTAAATGAAGCGCAGGACAGCTCTGGGGGATGTTTGGGGGCTCCTGAGCAGTTCCAGAATTGTTGGGTTGAGGATCTGAGGGACGCGCCTGGTGGAACCGGGTGTCTG